TCTAGCTCATAAATTGCTTTTCGAAGCTTATGGCAATTTATGTTCCATCAGAAAGAACATGCCAAGTATGTGATTTTGATGTCAATGATAAAGAACGCTCAGGCCAACCGAAAAAGTTTGAAGACCGATTTGCGGGCATTATTGGACAAAAACTCTACTCAAACGCTCCAAGAATTGTCTGCAACATTAAATGTTACTCCGATAGCTGTTTCCAAACGTCTACATGCAATGGGAAAAATTCAAAAGGAGGGAAAATGGGTACCACACGAATTAACCGCAAATGCCATTGCGAATCGCTTAAACATCTCTATTTCTCTGCTCGCCAGGCAGAAAAAGAAGAGTTTTTTGTGGCGCATAGTGACTGGCGATGAAAAATGGATATACTTCGATAATCCTAAACGAAGAAAATCATGGGTAGACCCTGGCCAACCATCGACATCCACACCAAAGAGAAATATTCATGGCCACAAAGCAATGCTTTGCATTTGGTGGGATATGCACGGCGTCGTTTATTATGAGCTACTCAGACCGAACGAAAGTATCACGGGGGATCGATATCAATCACAATTAAACCGTCTGAATGAAGCATTGTTGGAAAAAAGGCCAGCAGTAGCCAGCAATCGACGTAAAGTCATGCTTTTGCACGACAACGCTCGACCACACGTTGCCAAAGCCGTCAAAGAAACACTGATGCAGCTCGAGTGGGAAGTTCTCCCGCACCCAGCGTATTCACCAGACTTAGCTCCTTCGGACTATTACTTGTTCCGGTCGATGCAGCACGGCTTGGTGGATACACACTTCAGAAATTACGAGGATGTGCGAAAATGGATCGACGAATGGATTGCATCAAAAGACCAATCGTTCTATCGTCGCGGAATCTACGCGTTGCCCGAAAGATGGGAAAAATGTATAGCTAGCGAGGGAAAATACTTCGATTAATGTATTTTTTGCTTTTGATGTCGAAATAAATGAGTTTTTTAAACAAAAAAACCGCAGGAACTAAGTTTACCACCTAATATATATTGGATATGTATATATTTCTCTTGGACATTTATTTTTATTTTTTTTATTTATACGTAGAATCACAACCGTTGCCTTTCAAATAGTTTAATAGAATCCAACATCACAGCACCCGTCTAAGTGCATTGCTAAGCAACGTGTTCTATT